GTCCCGAAATTACTGTTCATTGGATTTTCACTTTTAGTACAAATTGAATTAAACTGAATATCAAAATTGGACAACAATTTTGGAACGTAGAAAGTATTTTATTATAAGACAAAAATTCAAATTAAATTAAATTAAATTTTAAATTACATCTTATTAATAAAATAACTTATCGGATAGTGACATATCACATTATATATTGGGTTTTATAAATTGTTTATCCATGTAGTAAATCGTTTAATGAAAACACAAATATAACAAGTATATAAATGCCAAACTGCTTAGACCTGTGCAAAAAGATTTATTTTCCTTTTTATTAACATTGTTTCTATGAAAACATCTGAGCAAACACATTTAGAATCCCGCATTTCTGATATCATATAAAAATGCACCCGAATAAAGATATGGTCCCTAGCATTTCAAAGGAGTTGGGAAAAAGAAATGAAAAAGACTTTTTTTTTTTAATTGAAACCAGGATTGAAACTAGCAGGGTGGTAACCCTATTTATTAATAATAAAATAAGAAATTACAAGGAATTGCCTGATCTAGTACAAGCCAGCTATCGAATTCTAAGATATGGGACTCCCATTTAATCTAAAGCTAAAAGACCCTTCGTATCCTGGGGGAGATCCCTCAAGTTAAGAAACCATCACGATGTGCCAACTGATGCCATACTAAAGTTATCAGCTAAAGAGTTTGCTTCACGATAGACATGGCTGATAGAGTCTTGGAAGCTTTGAATTAGGAATTGAATTTCATGAATGTATGACCTGAAACTCCAAGGAAACTTACCGTTGGATTGTACGAGTGTAGCAAGTGAGAGATTATCTTTGGACCTCAACATTATTGAGGTTCATGAGACAACATCTTCTCAAACCAAAAATGAGACCACTAACTTCAGTGAGGGTGTTATCTCCTTGACCTATAAAACCGGCCTCGCCATAGATGAAGGAGCCCTGATGATCCTGAATTACAAAACCATAGCCAGATGCATTTCCATCAAGAAGGGTAGAACCGTCTGTATTTAAAACATAATGATTCGGTTGCAGTCTTTTCCACCTTATAACCTTGATGATCTTTTTCTTCTGAGCAGAATTAACAGTGGGAAGTATAGACAACATGAAAGATTTCTCCAAATTAGTCCGTGCCGGAGGAGAGTGGACAATTAGGAGGTTTCGGATATCCTCCATCACGGACTGTTGTATTTGAACGGGAGAGGGACGAGTTCCCTAAAAAAATGGAGTTGTTTCTAGCCTTCCTGATTTCCCAAAGGATGAAAATTGGAGCTGCCATGATCGCCACATTCCTAGCTGAATCGAAGCTTCCAATTGACCTCCAAGATTGAATCATATGCCACAGTGTGACGCTAGAAATAAAGGAATGTGAAAAAGATTCTTGAATTGTGACCAAACCGACTTAGCAATCTTGTAGTCTAAGAAAACATGCTGAAAGGAATCCACATCGTTCCTACACAAAACACAAGTTGAAGGATTAGTGTACAGTCCGAACGAGACCACAATATCAGCCAATGGAAGTAATTTGTTAATTAACTTCCAGCAGAAAAAAGAAACACGAAGAGGGATAAAGTGATGCCAAAAATTCTTCAATGCTCCCTGTTTCGTCTGTTTGGATCCCAATGTATCATAAGCTGATTTGATGGTGAATTTTCCAGACGAAGTTGGCTGCCAAATTAAGTGATCCTCCCCTTCATAGAAGGTCTGATCAGAGCTTGCCAAGTAAGCTAATATATCCGGATTTAAGAATTTTTGAAAAGAGGACATGCATGCTTGTCTTTGATAAAAGAAATCCTTGATCGAAATAGTTGGCTGAGGCGGAGATACGGCCGGAATATCCCAAATAACGCCCATTGGAGACCAATTATCGTATCAGAAGTTTGAACATCCATTCTGAATTTGAATATTGGAGTGGCGCGAAGCTATATGCTCAATTTTCTCAACCCGAGTCCAAGAAGTTCTTCGGGCAGAAATGGACAAAGAAAGAATGAAGTTAGCCTAAAGCCCTTGTCTGTTCTTGATTTTCCACCACATTCTAACAGAATAATCTTTGACAACATCTCTGAATTTGCGCAAGCCAATTCCATTTTCATCAACTGGAAAGGTTAAACGATCCCAAGAGCGCCAATGCTTTCTTCCCTCATCCGAGCCTTGCCAAAGGAATTTTTGGCAGCGTCTCACAAGTTGATTTAGGACTGAAATAGGCCGAGAGATAGCCGCAAACACATGGATCTGAATTGCCGAGAGGGCGTGTTTAATTAGAAGTAGCCGCCCTCCAGGACTCAACATTTCGTTTTTCTAATTCTTGAGTTTAGCATTTAGAGCATCAAGTAAATGTTGAAACTGATCAGGCCATTTACGTCCTCTAGTGATTTTGCATCCGAGATATTGGAAGGGCATAGAGCCTTGCTGCATTCCTAAAATGCGCCGGATCAACACAAGGCGTTGCTGCGGACATGAGGCATCAACGTAGAAGTTGCTTTTTTGTCTATTGATTTCTTGCCCCGAAAGCCTTTTCATAGTCGATAAAGAAAGCATTCAAGGCTTGAAGGGATGCTTTAGAGCCTTTTGTGAAAACTAAGAAATCGTCCGCAAAACAAAGATGTGAAATAATCTTTGATCCTGCTGGAGAGCCAAAGCCTTCAATCACCCTATGCTGTATAAGAAAATTGAGCTTGTGGGACATAGCTTCAGAGATTAAGATGAAAAGGTATGGTGACAAAGGATCGCCTTGTTTTAAACCTCGAGAAGCTTGAAAGAAACCTGCTGGGATCCATTAACGAGGATAAAAAACCAACTGTTAGTCAGATTAGGAAAACCTAAAGCAATAAACTGAGAAGGAAAGCCAAACTGTACAAGAGTTGCTTCCAAAAAATCCCAAGAAACCCTATCGAAGGCATTCATCATGTCAACTTTGAGGATGATATTATTGCCAACCGCTTTATGACCCAAAAATTGACATAAGTCTTAAGCGAGCAAAATGTTATCATTGATGTCCCGTCCAGCTAAAAAAGCTGATTGCTCATTGGAGATAAGTTTTGGGAGATTCGATTTCAACCGATCAGTTAGTAACTTTGTAAAGATTTTGTTTATGAAGTTACATAAACTAATTGGCCGTACTTCAGAGAAAGTTGAGACGGAAGCCTTCTTAGTAATTAAGGTCACCAATGTGCTTCCAATAGATCGAGGTATAGGGACACCAAGGAGGAATTCTTCACACGCCTTAAGAAGGTCATTTGCTATTATGTCCCAACAGCGAGTGTAAAAAAGTCCTCCAAAACCATTTGGACCCAGGGCACTATCTTGATCAAGGCGGAAAATAGTCGAATTTATTTCCTCCAAGGTATATAACCTCCTTCAATAAGGCCTTATGATCATCCTCATTGAGCAAGTGAGGAATTTGTTGTATAAACGTATCAATTCCTTGATTTTCCTCCTCAACCGAAAGAAGGTTCTTAAAGAATGTTACAGCTTGATCCTCAATTGCACTTCTAGTAGTTAACCAATCTCCATCATCAAATTGAATCTTGTGAATCCCTAAACGAGCCTTTCGTTTAGTTAAAGAAGCATGGAAATAGATCGTGTTGGCGTCGCCTTCTTTTAGCCATTTTAACAGCATTTTTTGAGTCCAAAAATCCTCATGTTCTTTCAACTTTAGAAGAAGGCGCGCCTTAGATTGATGTAGCTGAGCTCGATCAAATTCTGATTTGCTGAGATCATATTGAGCTTCAAGGGTTTTGACCTCATCTTCGGCAGTCTTCAAATTATCGAAGACATTACCGAAGATATCCATAATTTGAGTTTGGAGTTCAGTCTTCTCAGCTTAAGGGAATATCCTAACATGCCTGACTGATCCAGTGATTCATCCCAATTATCTTTCACAAATTGAGAAAGTCTGGTCACTGAAACCACATCTTTTGAAATGGGAAAATTTTTTGCCGAACTTCATCGCTTTGATTATATTGTAACAGCAGAGGACAATGATCAGAAGTGGTTCTGCTAAGGTGTTCAACAGATATAACGGGAAACATGTCAATCCATTCTGTGAAAAGAGAAGACGATTAAGCTTTTTGCTAATCCACCTTGTACTTCGTGTTCTACCCCAAGTAAAGTCATCCTCAGCCATGTTTAGTTCCAGCAGACCACAAGATTCAAGACATTCATTAAATTCTTCAATTGTGGTATGATCTTGGACAGAGAAACCAGAATATTCCTCAAGTGATCTAATCACGTTAAAATTACCACCAATTAACCAGGGACGGCCCAAATGCAGCTAACGAAATGAGATCAAATCTTCCCATAATGCATGTCTTCCAACACGGGTAGATTTAGCATAAATGGTTGACATAAAGAGGACCTGATTATCAGAAACTTTTGTAATTCGAAACGTAACGATTGATCTGTACCCCCAACAATCTGCATATCAAAATCGTTAGTAGAAAAGCACCAAATTTTACTAGAACTAGAAGTAAAAGCCTTAGCAAAACCTAGTTTAATTCTGATTGAATCTAATTTATTAGAAGAAACCATAGGTTCCAGCAAAACTAAAATTGAGATTTTGCATCCTCAAATTAGGGATTTCAGATGTCTTTGATAAGCCTGATTGTTAATACCACAGACATTCCAAAAAATATGACTAGTCATCATAAAGATACGATTGAGACAAAAAAAAAAAGAAACTACTGTAACCGAGCAGATCGACGAGGCTCAAGGCATGCGTTCAATTACATCCTTTCCTCCTTGGTTTTACGGCCCCGTTTTTTTTTTATTGTTGTGAATCCATCCGAAGCCTGGATTTGGTCATCGTCCTATTCTCCATTAGACCACGTGTTGCTTGGATCAAACTCATCGACAATTGTGGCGCTTCTTGTTCCTATTAAGGAATCATCTTTGATAGCAATCCGTGTTTGTGGCTCAGATAACGCTAGAGCTGGAGTGAGGATTGGTGTACTACTTCCTGCAAGTAACAAATTTAGAGAAGTAGTTGCATTAAGGAAAGAAATCGAAGGAATCAGGGATATCTTCAACAGGGATGGAAACATTGCGCTGTTTCTCCTGTTGATCTTCATCTGAATTTTTTGGCACAGACGTCGTGATTAAATCAGGAATTTCAACAGCAGCAACATTCATGTCTGATTCTGGAAGAGGATCTGAAATAGCTTCCGTCAATGCCGGCATGTAGAGGGTGATCCAGGATCCTTCGTGATTTGAACTGAGTCCTCCACATCGAATGTCTTGCTTTTCCATGACTGAAAGTCCCGAAGTGGATGCTGTATTTGAGTTGATCATCTTTTTTTGCCTAAGTCCGGCTTTGGCTTCCACTTTGGGACAGGTTTAGGCATGATGAATTGGACCTTCTTTGGACCTGATCGAATCTGCTTTTCTGATTCAGCGGCAGAAGCCGGATTTGGAGTCCTTTTTAATTATGAATTGGCCTTTTCTTGCTACGAGATAACTGATTTTCCTTTCCTGCATTCTATATCTTTATGGCCTATTTTGCAACAGTTGGCACAGTAAGAAGGAATGTATTCATAAGTACACAACTGTTCCTGCTTCTTACCTTTGTTACCTATCTTAATCGATTTGGGGTGGTCCTTTGTCAGATCAATTTCGACAGAAAAACGAGCAACCGATGGGCTCGATAAATTAATGGTGGGAGCGTCAGTCTCTAAAGGCTTACCAATGGATGTAGCTATTGAATATAACACTTTTGGATGAGTCCACTCTAATGGCAATTCAAGAAGAGAAACCCAAACAGGAACAATTGGCGGATCTTCCTCAAACTTGAGTCCGGGCCGCCACATAAGAATACGCATATGATAACCTCCAATGTTCCATAGTGATGAGATCCTGCAACGCTGGTAATCTCCTTCAAGTTCAAACCAAATGGATATATGCCTTGGATTCATGAAGCCCAGAGAGTAAGAACCCTTGAATCCGATTTTTTTAAAATCATCCTGGACTTCTTTCATCTTTGGATGGCCGTACGAAAATTTCCCAACAAGAGTCATCTTATGTGGAGCAATTAAGGCTTAAAACTCATCATCGTTGTATTCAAGTTCTGGAGAGCCATTGAAGAAAGTGACTTTTTTGAAGTCAGGGAAAGGCGGGGCAACAGGCACTTACTTTGTCCTATTTTAATAGTTTGGTTTTCCACATTGAAAAATGAAAGAAAGTATTAATCTAAGAAATTAGTCGATGTAATGATTGTCGAGTCCGAGAATAATGTGCATTCACATTCACATCAAATCTCAACAATCTCATATCAGTCATCTTTATCAACTTTATTAGCAAATGAAATATGTGGATAAAGGTAAATTAATTAAAAAAAAATGGGAAGAAACAATAAGAGAAGAGAAAGTATGTGATTGATTGAGTTATACTTAAATAATAACAAATTAAATACTAAAAACAGTTTCATGCGACAAAAAATATTTTGGGGTATTTTTGTGTGATATACGCGATATGACATTAGTTAAATAGATGACACGTGTTATTATCATCGATGCTAGTACACTAACCAAAAATGATAAGTGTACCCGTTTGGATAAGTGATTAAATATGTATCAATCATCAACATATTTTCACACCGAGATAAAAGTATTGTAGAAAATCTTTAGTGTTCCATACACATCTTGAATTTGAGTGCTTATGAGACATCGATCGGGAGGAGAAAAAGAATACAGAAATACAATAACAACAAATACTTAATTAAAAGCAAACTAATTTTAAAAAAAACCATATCGTCGGATATATCCCATCATTTATACCATGCAAATTCATCATAACTTTTTTAAATTGTTAATTATATCCCAAAATTTTCAAAACAGAAGAGTTTATCCCATGCATGTAAGACAACAAAAATAACTTAATATAACATTTAAAAATTCATTGAATTCCGTATAGTTTTCTTATTGCTCATATTATAAGGATCCTCAAGTCACCACCACCGAGCTCTGATGTGCACCTTCTGACCCTATGCAGTCTCTCAAATCGAACATCATCTTTTCTCTGTTTAATTTTTGTTGATCTTTGAGTAAATATATTTAGTAATTTTGACGGCCGTGTCATTCTCACTCCAATTTTGCAAACGATTTCAAAAAAATTATTTTCCCTTCACAAGAAATTTAAAAAAAAAAGAAGACAAAATGAATTATTGAAAGGGATTTTATTTATTTATTTATTTTAATGCTCTTTTGGTTTAATTTTTTTTTTTGGGGTAAAAGATGTAAATTGTATTAATCGCAATTTCTTTTTCTATACAATCCTATTATTTCTCTGTTACATACCAGAATCATCTTAATTGACTAACATGCCTAACTTTTGTAAGAACCTTGTTTACTCCTTTGCGCTTTTTGGCAGTACCATTTTGGTGCGCCATAAAACTTCCTACTTCACTTTGCTAACTATTACATTAGAATGTAGACATTGTTCTCTATATTTGACATTGTTTCTCATTTTCTATATATGGTATATAGTTGCAACAACAGTTTTACACGACACGCTTCTTTGGACCTTGTGGTGCCGCTATTTCTTAAACAAGTGTTTCTTCCATCTGTTTAACTTCATTGTCATCTTTCGATCTCCTGTCCAAGTCATAAGTGCAAAGATAATGTGTTTTGAGAACTTGCAATCAAAGAATAAATGTGCAGCTGATTCTACTTCTTTGTTACACATCAGAGAAGTACCGGGTTCAGACATAATTTTGTGCCTAGTTAGTCACTCAAATGTCCACAATCTATCTTGCAATGCTAGCCACATGATAAAGTTGCGTTCAGAGATATTGTATTTACCTCATACAAACTTGGTTTCATGCATCTTAAGCCTTTGAGCTTATAACCAGTTATAACCTGATTTGATTGAATAACTACCGTATCCTAATGCTATCCATTTATTGTGTTGAACCTTTAATTTTAGTTTTTCCTTCACTCGCATCAAGTTACTCCAATGTCAGCTATTGTCTTGCTGGGGTTAGAAATTGCAAACTTTATTTCCCTTGACATATTCCTCGTGACACCATATATTTCATAGATTATCCTCTTAACTAGTTATGTCCCCTTTAACTCTCTTTTTGTTTACTTCCCACATCATTTTCAACTTTGGTACTGGTCTTTAATACTTAAATCTCTAGGTGTTAAATACAGAAGTTTTATGTAGATAAATTGGATACTTTAGTTATATGAGCACCTTCATTCAATTGAGAAGGTCACATAACGAAACAAAAAATTGTGAATGAGGTGTATCCCCTCTTTCAGTATGTACTATTATTTCGTTGTCACTAACTCGTAGAAATTTTATCTCCCTCCAAAAGTTGTACTTTTATCCATAATTAGTGTGTACATTTCAGTCAGTATGAGTTTTCACTATATTTTTTCACTTGCTCTATCGTTGATATTTTCCCTTTGTGTGATGTCATTGATCACAAATTATTAAAGGTGTACCATAATTAGTTGTTCAATACATGGTTATTCACTAGATTCTAATTCGCTAATATCAATACTCTTAAAGTCCATTTAGTTGAATGGATTTTGAATTTGACTTAGAAATAAACATCTACTAAAATGCTTGGAAAGGTTGAGACATTTATATATATACCAATCTCTTGTTTGGCTATAGTAAGTATTTGATATGTATTCATGTTGTAAGTCCAAATTATTTGTTTTGTGGTTCATACTATAGTTTTTTATTTATAATTATTTCCTGCCTCTTTTATTTTTTTCTCAAATAAAAACAACCAAATTTTGGAATAAGTTGAGAGAGAGGGATTTAAAATTTAATTTTTGAAACTTCCGTTTCTTTCCAGGATGAAACCCTACTTTTCTTCTATCTCCTTTAAGCTTCAACCGCCACCACTGCTCAGGGTCAGCCTTCCTATAAAGCCAATGAAGCATTGGCTTTAGGCCCCTTTTGGGAAGGCCAAATTTTCAAAATTTAATATTATTATACTACAATAAAAAATTAAAATTAAAAAAGGCTATAGTCATAAAAAAAAAACACTACATATTTTCAATTCCAGTTTAAACTCCACAAATTTCGAGATCTTTTTTTTTCAAATACTTTTAATATTTTTAATAATATCCAATAGATCAATTTTCTTATTTAAAACAATAAAGAACTGCTCAATGTTTACGATTCTCAATCACTTGCAATCTATCCAACTACCACAAGAATTGGTCAATGTTTACAAATCTAATCTGAATAAAGGAGGTTTATAAATTTAATTTTCTTAAATAATTTACTCCAAAATTACAAAAATATTCCTTGCTATATTTATTCGAAACTATAAGTTTCAAATGTCATTACATGATACCACAAACTTAAAGTATTTCTATCACTTTCATGTTAGGTATTGTTAAAAATTTAATGGTGAACTCTTTCCACGTGAGATACACGTGAATTGACCGAACAATATAGAGTTTTCATTAAAAAAATTTAAGTATTTGTAAATCACAAGAAAATTAGTTAATCACGTGATACGGGAGACTCAAGTCAATTTGTTTATGTGTATTTTACATGCATTTTACGTGCAAAAAGATTGATTGTTAGTTTTTTCACCAAAACTCTTAAAGAAAAGTGAATGAAAACACTATTTGAAATTGCGGTGTCTTACATTAAAACCTAAAAATTTTAGTTTTGGATGAATATATCAAGCAACGTTTTGGTACTTTTATAACAATTTATTGTATTTTTTTAATCTCTCTCTCTCTATATATATATATATATATTTATTTATATTTATCAAAAGGAGAATGATAGAATAATTGCATCCGCGTACTCCTTAAATAAGGAGTTACCGCCCTATCTAACAAAAGATTACCCTGCAAACTATTAGTAGAGTTTGCCAAAATATGTAACCCAAAGGCCAAATGAAGACCTTTTTTAGCCAAGATATCGGCTACTACATTACACTCTCTGAATATATGTATAATTTTTATCTCTCAATCACGTTGAAGAAGAGTTGTAATCCTTCTCATAAGGTTGGATTGTTGAGGTGATGGTTGAGGATTATTTAGTAACGGCACCGACTCCAGGGAGTCCACTTCTAAATTAACTTTCATAAATCCTTCCTTTATTGAACACTTCTAAAATAATTTTTCAATATTTAAAAGGCCCTAATTTTAGTATTCGCTTTAGGCTGCCCCTGCCTTCGCCACCCCTGGAAATTGCCACCACAACTTGTGATATCCCGAAAATTTTGACGTGCTTATAATTATAGTTTGAAGCCTAATAATCGGGATTAGATTCAA